AAACCCCTTACACTTGGGTTGAAATAATTTTGGACAACAACGGGTATTACGGGCTGGCTTCATGCCCACACCACCACCACTCAATAACCAGACACGCATCCTTGATAAGGGTTTAGCATAGATCTGGAAAGAGACCTCCGGCGAAAAAAAAAAAATTTAAATCCTTTATCCAGGTATGCAACCTGGCTGTCTAGAAAAGGAGGGGCATAGCAAGCATACAGTCCCCTCTCCTAAACCATACCAGGCCACATTTCCTCAATATGGGGAGAGTACCTTGCCAGTAACTTGATAGTAAAAAAAAAAAAATCCACAGTGTAAATCCAAACTCACTCATATTGTCCAGTGTTGTAGATTCAGTGTCACCCACAATGAATGACATCCTGGTGACCCACCAACACAAACAGGATGACGTGCACCAATGATCCTTTCCCATCAGACAATGACATTTCCCTGACAGCAGATGAATGGTAACAATTTGGGTGGGCATGTTGAGTGACGCCGTTGGCGAAACTATGGTTATGACCATATTTGGAAAATGATGTCAGCCAACACATTCCCATCTAATGTAATTTTGGGTTTTTGTTGGTTTTGTTTTTTTTGCTTGAGTTAGCCTCCAAATCTTCCTTGGCTGACATCATGCTGGGTTTTTGTTGATTTTATGCTTGGGATCCCCCTCCAAATCCATACCAGACCATCTACCAGGCATGCAGTTTGGTTGGGCTGGAAAGAAGAGGGCAGCAAACGTGTGGCTGAGTAATGCATTCATGAATAATGCATTAATAAAAATAATAGATATACTGTATATATATATATATATATATATATATATATATATATAGTAAAGCATACAGTGCAGCGCTAATAAAATAATATATATATGAATGCCTCAAATACGGCGTTAAATGCATAAGTACTAAGATCATAAATTATAAAGTCCAATAGCAGTATAAAATTGTATATACAAGTTCTGTAGTGGTCTTTACAAAATTCTAATGAAGAAGGTGACTTTAATATTCCCAATAAGGCACAAAACCGGTGTCGTGCAGAAAAATGATAAAATTGCACACTCCCCAGATGCGCAATTTATAAGCGCATTAATCACAGCCAGAGGTCCCCTCTGTCCTGGAAAGGTGCAGCTCGCAGTGGGTGGACTTTCAGTCACAACTGGGCAATAGGATGACGCCTCTAAAGGTCTTTCCAAGTTGTGGACTGAAGTAGGGGTCAGCAATTAAATCACTCTCCTGGGCCTTAGGGATGGTCACCCATGGATCCTGGGGAGTTAGATGCTCGGTGTGGAGCAAAAAATAGTTTCCATAGTGTAGCATGTCAAAAATAGTAAATATTTTATTAATGAATCAAAAACATAAGTTAGCAAACACACATTTAACACTCAGTTAGCCTTTGCCAGTAGATACATATCTTGTAGATAGCGTGCAGTGGGAAACCGCTAAAATCACTAACCAGCTGGGTAGTTGTGTGGCCACCAGATCACCGTGATCCGGTGGCTTGACGTCACAGGTGTGTGTGGCTCCTCCTTGACGCGTTTCGTACACCTAGTACATTATCAAAATGGGTGATGCCATAGCAGCCTGGACGTCAGATACAGTGCTATTTATAGGCAGAAGAAGGCGCTTCAAATCATCTTGCCAGTGATCGGCGCGAACTGCGCATGTGCGGAAGCAAGGGCCATTTTCCTGTAGCACAGCTAACACTAAGCAGCTCACAGCTTCTATTGGGCAGGGGGGATCTTCACCGTGGTAGTTGAGGCATGGTGGCCTCTTAACCTAAATGGTCCATGGCAGCAGTTGAGCAGGAATTGGGCACAAACGAACTCAAGGGTAAAAAATAATACCCGGTATATATATATATATATACTGCTCAAAAAAATTAAAGGAACACTTTGAAAACACATCAGATCTCAATGGGTAAAAACATCATGCTGGATATCTATACTCATATGGACTGGGTAAATTATTAGGAAAGTAAGGATGCCCCATCATTTGATAAAAATTAAAATTATCAACCTACAGAGGACTGAATTCAAAGAACCCCCTGAAAATTAAAGTGAAAAAATGATGCAGCAGGCTAGTCCATTTTGCTGAAATTTCATTGCAGCAACTCATAATGGTACTCAATAGTTTGTATGGCCCCTATGTGCTTGTATGCATGCCTGACAACGTTGGGACATGCTCCTAATGAGGCGACGGATGGTGTCCAGGGGAATTTTCCTCCCAGATCTGGACCAAGGCATCACTGAGCTCCTGGATAGTCTGAGGTGCAACCTGGCAGCATCGGATGGACCAAAACATGATATCCCAGAGATGTTCTATTGGATTAGGGTGAGGCGAGCGTGGGGGCCATTCAATGGTATCAATTCCTCCATCCTCCAGGAACTCTCACCACATGAGGACGGGCATTGTCATGCACCAGGAGGAACAAAGGACCCACTGCATCAGTGTGGGATCTGACAATGGGTCCAAGGATTTCATCTCGATACCTAATGGCAGTTAGGGTGTCATTTTCTAGCCCAGTGGTCTCCAAATTATGGCCCGGGGGCTGGATGTGTGCCCTTGGCTTGCCTTTACATGGCCCTTGGGGCACTATTCCACCAACTAACCCCATCTATGGGGCACTATTCCTCCCACTGACAACATCTATGGGGCACTATTCCTTCCACTGACAGCATCGATGTGGCACTATTCTTCCCATTGATACCAACAATGGGGAATTATTCCTTCCATTCAAACCAATGATGGTGCATTACTTATGCCCACTAATGTTGGGGCATTTTTTACTCCCACTGGCCACAATCCAGCCCTGCTAAAGTCTGAAGGACAGTAAACTGGCCCTTTGCATAGAAAGTTTGGAGACCCTGGTCTAGCCTGTAGAGGTCTGTGCGTCCCTCCATGGATATGCCTCCCCAGACCATCACTGACCCACCACCAAAACGGTCATGCTGAATGATGTTACAGGCAGCATAAACTTCTCCACGGCTTCTCCAGACCCTTTCATGTCTGTCACATGTGTTCAGGGTGACCCTGCTGTCATCTGTGAAAAGCACAGGGTGTCAGTGGCGGACCTGCCAATTCTGGTGTTCAATGGCAGATTCCAATTGAGCTCTATGGTGCCAGGCAGTGAGTACAGGGCCCACTAGAGGATGTCGAGCCCACAGGCCACCCTCATGAAGTTTGTTTCTAATTGTTTGGTCAGAGATATTCCCACCAGGGGCCTGCTGGAAGTCATTTTTTAGGGCTCTGGCAGTGCTCATCTTGTACCACTTGCACAAAGGAGCAGATACCGGTCCTGCTGATGGGTTAAGGACCTACTACGGCCCTGTCCAGCTCTCCTAGAGTAACTGCCTGTCTCCTGGAATCTTCTCCATGCTCTTGAGACTATGCTGGGAGACTCAGCAAACCTTCTGGCAATGGCATGTATTGATGTGCCTTCCTGGAAGAGTTGGACTGCCTGTGTAACCTCTGTAGGGTTATTCTAACCGCACATGCGCGGCTCCAGGAACGTGCAGCGCGGCGATCAGTGGTGCGCTGTGTCCCTCGGACACAGGGGATCACTGATCAATGGAAAGAGCCAAGATGTTGGCTCAGTCGTGTGATCAGCTGTGTCCAATCACAGCTGATCGCATGTAAATTATCGGTTATCGGCATTTCTCTCCCTCACAAGCTGTCACGCTGACAGCTCGAGAGGAGGGGAGAGCCGGTAATCGGCATCCCTCAGAGGGGACATGTACACTGAGCATCAGGGCACTGATGATCAGTGTGCCCTGATGATCTGTGTAGCCACAGCAGTGCCACCTGTCAGTGTCCATCAGTGCCAGCTGTCAGTGCTCATCCATGCCACCTGCCGGTGCCCATCAGTGCCACATCAATGCCACATTTCAGTGTCTACCAGTGCACATCAATGCCACATATCAGTGCCCATCTGAGCTGCCTTTCAATGCCACCCATCAGTGCCAGTCAGTGCCACTTATCAATGCCAGTCAGTGCCACCTATCAGTGCTGCCAATCAGTGCCACCTATCAGTGCCAGTGCCGCCTATTAGTGTCCATGCCATCAGTGCCACCTACCAGTGCCTCCTCATCAGTGCCATCAGTGCACCTATCAGTGTCCATCAGTTGTCCATTTTGTGTTTGTTAAATAAATATAAAAAAACATCAGTGCCGCCTATCAGTGCCTATCAGTGCTGCCTATCAGTGACACCTAACAGTGGCAGTCAGTGCCACCTAACAGTGCCAGTCAGTGCCATCTATCAGTGCCAGTCAGCGCTGCCTATCAGTGCCACCTATCAGTGCCGCCTATCAATGCCATATGAGTGCTGCCTTTCAGTGCCCATCAGTGATGCCTATCCATGCCCATCAGTGCCACCTACCAGTGCCTCCTCATCAGTGCCCATCAGTGCCACCTATCAGTGTCCATCAGTGTCCATTTTGGTTTGTTTAAGAAAAACATATAAAAAAAATTGCTGTCCAAAAAGAATATTGCAGCACGTTTGAAAGTTTGCAGAGGTGATTAAATAAGACCAAAATAAAGCTCTATCTGTCACAAAAAAAGGCACAGATAAAAACTTCATATGGGCCTCAGGGCCTACAGTGTTGCATGACCGCGCAATTGTCATTCAAAGTGCAACAGCGTTGGAAGCTGGAAATGGCCTGGGCAGGAAGGGGGTATAAGTGCCCTGTAGGCTAGTGGTTAATTGACTTGATGCTATACTCTGATTAAAAAGTGTTCCTTTAATTTTTTTGAGCAGTAATATATATATGTGTAGCTGCATCGTATTTCTGATCTGTATTTAGCCCAAGGTTCATAATAATGTGTCTAACAGGTATATTATACTGAAAACAGGATGAAATGTATTACTGTTTCAGAACTTTCAGATACATTCACCAAAACATATCAGAGGTTTAATCATCTAACTTTAATTTTAGGATTACAGTTCTCCAGGGATGCGTGTTCCTAGGCTATCTTTAACAGGCAGAATAAGTAAGAAAGATACTTGCAATGCTCTATATAACATGAAGTATTTATGGTGTATTATGTAAATAAAGTCCCTTACAAGGCTCTATGAAGTGAACAAGAAAATTAAACGTTTTTTACATTTGCTTTTAACTGATTAAAAGGACAAAATCACGAAAAATGTGTACATGACTTCAGATGGTTTCCAAATAATGTGTTCCATAATTTTATTTTCGTTTAAAAATTAAGAGGTCTGAGCGTTACAAGGCAGATGGGAATGATAAGGCCCCCCGTCCTTAACCACTTGACCTCTGGAAGGTTTTACCCCCTCCATGACCAGGACATTTTTTACTATTCAACACTGTGCTACTTTAACAGACAATTGTGCGGTCATACAACATTTTACCCAAATGAAATTTATATAATTTTTTCACACAAATAGAGCTTCTTTTGGTAGTATTTAATAACCACTGGGGGTTTTTTTTTTTTGCTATATAAACAAAAAAAAATACTGAAAATTTTGAAAAAAAAACATGGTTTTCTTAGTTTCTGCTATAAAATTTTGCAAATAAATAATCTTTCTTCATAATTTTTGGTCAAAATGTATTCTGCTACATTTCGTTGGTAAAAATAACCCAAATCAGTGTATATTATTTTAGTCAGTGTGAAAGTTATAGAGTCTACAAACGCTGGCATATTTATTTGAAAATTGATCAATCCTGATGTAGTGACTGCCTATTTCATTTCTTGAGGCTCTAAAATGCCAGGACTGTACAAATGACCGCTTTTATGAAACTAGACAGCCCAAGGTATTTAGTAAGAGGCATGGCGAATTTTTGGAAGTTGTAATTTTTTAGTGACACTGTACTACTCTGGGGAGGGATAACCAGGGATTTATTTTTTACATTGTGATTGCTGTTTCAGCGATGATCACTGTAACAGCATTCGTTTGAACTGTCATGAATGGGTTTCATTCATAACAGCTGTATTTACTGTTGAGATGCTGTGATTGGCTAGAGCCAATCACATGGTACAGTTACCATGTGATAGCTGTGGGGCAATCACCGCATCAGTACAGTAAGCACAGCTGTTATGAATGGAACTCATTCAAACTCTTTCTTAACAATCGTGCACACATTTTGATCATGTGATCGCATAGTGATCATGTCATACTCTGGCAGCTTTACTGGGAACTGTAATCCACTGTGTCTAGTGAACACGATAGTTATGGGAGTAGTGCTCTGTGCAACCCAGGGGGCACGCCTGTGCACATATGCAAAGTAACATTGAAAATATCCTTCATGTTGTGAATTATGCTTGTCTGCTGGTCATCTCCTTCCACAACTTCCTGCATTCTCTGCATGCCTTGTCTGCATCTCTATCTGCTGTTCACTTTCAATTTCTAAGGACTAAATATCCCATGGTACCTTGCTGCCTGCAGGCAGTGATACCTGTACTGATTCACCCTCTGAAAATGCACCTCTGTAGTTCAGAAGGCAGGCTCTGTGAAATGTGTGACACAGTACCAGTACCGGAACAAGGTTGTCTGGTGTCTAGGGCGAAAATGTCAAAATGTGCCTGCCCCCCTTGTTTATTATAGAAGAGAGAGTGCCTTTTCAAAACCAAAAAAGACCCCGACACTGGTTCCAGTTTCTGCAACAATGCATTTGTGATCAGTGGCAGTGTTAATTAACCCCTTTGTGCTGCATTAGTGGACAGTAGCAGCGTTTATTAATTTTTTGATTGATGCTGCAGCACAAAGGGGTTAATTAACACTGCCACTGATCACTAATGCATCAGTGACCACTGGCAGTTCATTAACCCTTTCCTGCTGCACATTACTGGCCCCCCACACTCCCAAAGTCGTTAACTAGTCCAGTTCACAGCTTCTCTTTAAAGCTTTATAACTAAGTAAACTAAAATGTAACATAACATACAGTACTTGTTGTTAATGCTCCTCAGCCTGCTGCTTTTGTTAGGATATTGTTTAGCTGCTCACTCACTGCTCTAATCCAACCAACATTCACGCTCCCTCCTGGCGCCGCTCTCTCTGCTTGTCCTGGCCTGTCCTGGCCTCTGAATGACATCTTGTCAGAGACCAGAACTAGAAATCATCTGCCGGGCACATCACTCTGCCTGACAGAAGGAAATGTGTGTCGTCAGTACTGACGGCCGAGTACAAGAGGAGCGTGGGGGAGCGCATGGACTGCTGTAGCGCTCTGCACCCCCCTTCCAGTCTGCACCCCCCACTGCTCAGTAAGAGCACTGTGTGTGCATGGTTCTGGGCAGCAGCAGTGATCTGTGCACAGCTGTGGATCTTCACCCCGACAGCCGCCCCCCCCTGAGGCTGACTTTATTCTGCACTCCACGGTGTCTTCACTGCATTTCACCTGTGCCCTCCCCCCTGTTGTGTCTGGGGCTTAATGGGGGAATTCCATTTAAACCTGGTGATTGGAGGCTGTACTGATTGGGTCTAGGATTTCTCAAAACGCAAAAATAAGGCGTTTGTTTCACCAATATCTGGTGAGTGCGGTATGTGATCTGAGCACTAACAGGTGTGAACATGGGTCAAGGGTCTTTTGGATAAGGACTTTACAACTTTATTTTACTCACCATACTCATCCTAACAATTATTTGGAGTGGGACTATTCTATATATATTTTTTTTCATGTTTTCATTTTATTTATTATAAGTTTTTTTGTACTATTTCTTTCTTTTATTATTTATTGTAAAATTTATTTGCGCTGTTTGATATATTGTTATTATTACTCACGTCCCTTCTGCCCCCCCCCCCCCCCCCCCCCCCTGTCCCTGCCCTGCATAGCACTGCCTACTCACAGGACATATTGAATATGTATCACAGAATTCAAGGAAGTAAATGTGTGGGGAGCAAGCAAGTTTGCAAACCCCAAGCAGTATTCGACCCAATATATTGCAGCTTACCAATCCTTACCCTAGGTTCACACCTAAGCGTTTTCTGTAGCATTTTACAGAAACGCAGTACAGTCCATTTAACATGATTTCGTATGGGACATGTTCACATCTCCGCGTTTTCGCCCAGTGCATTTTTTGGAAAGGGTTAGGGACTTTTTTGAACGCAAAAAGTTGTGGTTTTGGTTCTATAGACTTCAATGGAAATGCAGAAAAACATGTATTGCGTTTTTGCTGCGTTTTGCATTTTAAATCTGTCTAGAAACAAAGAAAATTAAAAAAAATAAAAAATAAAGGTGCAAAAATACAATGCAAAAAGCAATCCAGAAATGAGTCAAATGCAACCTAGGTGTGAACCTAGCCTTAGATATGGTGGCTGCATTCATTTTCTTGCTTAGGCTTTCTTCCCTCTGTTTTCACCTGGTGATCTGTCCAGTAACACACCTCCCGTATTAATGTGTCACACTCTGGATAAAGGAACAAAAGAGACACCTTCGGACAGCAAAATTGTCAGTCTGGAGGAAAGAGTGTTAGACATACTAGCAGATTCAGATACACTGAATAAATTGAAGCCAAACTGCAGCTAACACTTTTTAAGCAGTTACAGTAAACAGTTTTGTTCCTTTTGAGCTAAAGGCTTTACATAAATAAAAGCTGATTATTGTAAGCGCCCCGTCAGTGTTAAATGGTTTGCCTCAATCCTTTAACAGCTACATCTGCAGGACAGCCAGTTCTGTTGAAACACAACAAACATATTTGCCAGATCACCAGGTGAAAATAAAAGAAAGAAAGCCCAAAAAAGAAAAATAATGCTGCCACTACATCTAATAATTGATAACTTGCAATATAATAAACATTTGCTTTTGAGTTTAACCACTTGCTGATCTCCCTGTAGCAGTCTTACTGCTACAGGGCAGCCACTCGGCACAGAATATATCTATATATATATATATATATATATATATGTGATTCTGCATTTCCGGGTAGGGGGCACGTACACATCCAAATGCCGTTAAACCCGCGCTGTCATTGGCTCCTGTAGATGTCAATTGCTGGGTAATGGTCAGCAATTCATGGCTGGAACTCGGCGATCGGAGAAGTAACTGACAGGAGAGAAATCTGTAAGTGTACACAAGGCAGAT